AAAGTATGGATCACCAGATTTCCGGGTGGAAAATTCGATGATGTCCACATCATTTCCAGGTTTCCCAGGTATTTTCGAATGCCATGGCCATTTTTTTCCAGGTCCTTGGAACGTCATCTGGCACAGTGCCTCGGCGTAGGTGGAATTCCTGGGGGGTGATGTTTAAGCACACTTTAATTTACCCTCTGGTTATTTAACATAGCCATGGAAAATCCACCCATTTTTAGTAGGTAAACCATCTATTTCTATGGGCCATCTATACCATGGCTATGTTAAATAACCAGAGGGTATATTCCAATTTGCTACCAAGGGATATGGAACCCATGATGAAAACCCCAGAAATATCATTGTAAATTGATGTGAATTGTGGATATGAATTTTCTGGGGAGCCCCCAAGTAGATCCACGGTTTAGTCCTGGGTGTCAGGCTCCCAAGGCACACGTGATGATCCAGGAACCTGAGGTCATTTCAACCAGAGAAGCCATTTTTGTGGGCGATTCTTTTTGTGAACATACAATTTAACATAGCTATTGAAAATGGCCATAGAAATAGTGGATTTTCCCATAAAAAATAGTGATTTTTCCATAGCTATGTTAAATTACCAGAGGGTATCAAGAAAATCAAATTGTTTGGAAAGTGCAAAAGTCTAGTCGTCCATATCCAAGCCACTATGAGAATCTCCAAGGATCTGCCGCTGGGCCGCGCTGCGTTTGCAGGTTCAGATTCCGTTAAGAAACCGCAAGTGGGTAGTAACTACGAATGATGGTGATAGAACCGACGAATTATGGCGGATATTGCTGTGATTGAGTGCGGGTCCAAATTGTTGCTACCGCAAAATGGGATGGTTTGCTACAACTGATGGACAATTATTTATTTGTGATTTACTATTTTTTTTGCCAGATGAAGCATCTTTTCTCTCGTGGCAGGCAGGAGTTGCTTGAGGATTCATTTTGCATAACCACAATGAAACACAATGTCTACAGACTCACAGACTTCTAGACGCAGCTCAAGACAGGTGCTGGTTCAAACTCCGGGCACCAGCATTTGGAAGAATGCATGATATCCTGCATTTCTCTTGGAATCGTTCCTCTTGTCCCAGAACACAATTTCTTGCCTGCTGTTTCTGTTCCTCAATGTTTCATGTCTATGTGAATTCCCCTTCCTCTCTCTTGGTATATATTGTCTATGTACAGATTTCCAGAGGGAAAAGCCAATAAAGAACGATGGCCATGAAATCCCTATTGAGATTATTAAGTCCCTATGAAATATCACTAAACCACCATTAAAACGCATCAATTCCCCATGAAAAACACATTAAAATCCCGATGTCTTTGCCGCCAGGGGGTGGACGTTCCGACCGGCCTGGGTCGGGAAGCTGCGCGAGAGGCGGTGAATAGTATCGAGTTATGGTGATCGAAAGTGATTGAACATGATTTATGGATCTATTTATGGTGATTTGTAGTGATTTACAAAGCACCATATAGTGATTTAGAGTCATTTGTGCAACAATATTCATAGTGATTATAGAAATAATGGATAGTAAAGGTTTATGATGGCGATATACTAGGGATGATACTAGCCATTCATGGATTAATTCTAGTCAAACAACGCGTTTTTTTAGTGTCTGTCTGAAATCGCGACCGTATGAATGCATCAGGGTCCTTTGCTTGATCTATGGAATATTGGGAGGTGATCATGATATGTGAATGTTTTTTTTGGTGGCTGTTGTTTTGAGGTGAATCCTCCAAAAAATATTCCCTGGTGGTTTTCACAGATTCACCAGTAGTAGTGGAAATAGGTGGGTAATAATTACCAGATTACCAGGGACTATGCATTTTCGATTCCTGGGGTATCCTGTGATGTTCATCCAAATGTTTTTTGGGCGCCGACTCGGAAAGACTCAAATGTGGATTGATGTCTAGGTAGACGTACGAAAATTAAAATGATAAACACTGAAACTCACCACGTCAAGTCCTAAAGGTATATGGGGATGGGTCAAGATTGAAGCTCTATGGGACCGTTTCGGTTTATGTACGCACCATCGAATTATTGGGGTACCCAATGTTGACCCATAACCCATAACTATATCATTGAACAGATATTCTTTACTGGGAATTCGTCCTTGGTTTGGGGGGTCCAGCAATTCTTTGTAGTGGCACGTTGTTCTTTCTCCTGCGGATCCAGTCTAATCCGAGGTAAGCCATTAGTGAATATGAACCCCCACATTGGTACATATGAACTCAAAACATCCTAAAACATCCGAAACATCCAAAAATATCCCAACAAAATGGGGATAACTGGATAATTAACATGAACTAACCAACAACATTGGACAGTTGCCATGTTCACCCGCAGCGCAAGATGTGTAGCCAGGCAGCATTAGCCAGCAGTGGTCCTGATTCTGAAGGCCGCATCGAGGTGGGAATTTCATGGAAGTTCGTTGCGGAAAAACACGGATCATCATGGTGATATATGGTGATTACCCTCTGGTAAACTGTCACATAACTATGGAAAATCACCATTTTCAATGGGAAAACCATGGTGATACCCTCTGGTTATGTCAAAATAGCTATTGAAAATGGTCATAGAAATAGCGGATTTACCCATTGAAAATGGTGATTTTCCAATAGCTATGTTAAATTACCAGAGGGTATATGGTGATTACATCCCAAATTAGCCTCTGGTAATTGTAACATGGCAATGAAGAAGCCACCGTTTATCGTTATGGATTCTTAGATGATTGTCCCATTGAAACCTCCATTTACAGAGGATTTCATAGGATTTCCCATTGCCACGTTAGATGGATCCTAGACGGTGACATCCAATCCCAGAGCCGAAGGGAGACTAATAGTTGCCGGCAAAAAACAAGACCATGGCAAAACTTATTATTTCATGGGTAAAATTATGAGTATTTAACACTAACAGGCTAATACTAAGTTTAACTTCACATGTGCTTAAATTATATGATATTATATGTTAAATTTCGACGTTGGAAGGTCTGGGCAAATCTACTATATATATATATCTGATCATATGTATATATATATACCTATACCTATAAATAGATAAATATAGATGTTTATACCTATACCTATTTATATACCTATATATGTTTATATAGGAATAGTGGACTTAGAAATAGTGGATTTTCCCTACCAGGTATACCATATATATATATATTTAATAAATAAATAAATATCCCCCATCATTGGTGGCGCGCTTAGGTGGCTGCGGAGCATCTGCCGCAGATCTTGGGAGTGGAGCTGTTTGAGCCGGTGGGGACGGAGCCGGGAGTGGTGTTGTAGCCTCCAAAAAACATACAAAACACCCATGGGAAAATGGGAAAACCCTAGGAAAACCATAGGAAAATGGAGGTTTACCCTCTGGTAAACTAACATAACTATGGAAAATCACTATGGAAAATCCACAAGACCATCATGCCATGATTTCTTCAAGCCAGACCATGCAGTATTATCCAGTTGTGACATCTAGTAACCTGACCCAAAGAATCACCTGGCACCCCAAAAAAGATCCTGGCTGAAAAAACATCTTTTTCCGTACAGCAAGTTGCCATAATCTGGGTGTTGCACCATTTCTTCCAGACTCGGAATGACTCTGAAGGTATTGATCATTTTCATATTGCTTCTCCATTTACCCCCATTGAAACTTTTGAAACACTGGGCCAGATGTGCCATGGTCATAACGTATTTCCCCATAAACTACAATGAACAAAACCGGGAGTGTCATCAATGTATTCATCCATCGGTGTTTTTTTCATCTTGATGAATATGTTCATCATCCTACAGAGGTTAATATTCTCTACCTATCCCGCCCATGAGATGGTCATACTTGGAAGTGCGGTTCCAGTTTAGAAGTGGACAGATGTCACCCAAAAAATCACCCTAGTTAAACCACCATTTTCCATGGTTAAACCACCATTTTCCTGGAAGATCGGCTATTCGTTACTACCATGTTTTTAACCATCATCTCGAAGGGTTTTCGTTACCCATGGCCGCCTGTTGGACGCTCAGAATCTCGCTGAACGCCTTGATGTTGGACGGAGCCTAAGAGCTGGAGGGCTGTGTATATATTCAAGATATACCCTCTGGTTATTTAACATAGCCATGGAAAATGGCCCATTTATAGATGATGTTCCCATTAAAACCTCCATTTATAAGGGATTTTCCATGGCTATGTTAAATAACCAGAGGGTAAATATGTTAATTTATGCATAATTTATACTATACCCTCTGGTAAATTAACTTGTTGACCCTGACAATCGCCAATTTTCAATGGAAACTAATCTTCCAACCCCTATTTGGCAGGGTCTATGTTAATTTACTGGAGGGTATATGATAACACTAAAGTAATCAATATTATATTATTGTAATTCATTATCATATATGATATGATATATCATTTAGGACCCCCCCATTGATCGAAATTATCTAATTTTATATATCATAATATATAGTCTATGGGGGTTTCCTAAGTCATGGGGATACCCCAATAGCTGGTTTGTTTACATGGAAAATCCCAATCTAAAATGGACCTATGTCAGGAAACCTCCATATTGAGTTTATATATACACTTACACATGAACAAAATATATGATTATGTATATATATATAATATATATATATATATGTATGTATATCTAATACAGATATGTGTATATCATGTGTACGATCTACATGTGCATGTTGCATGTACACATGTATTATATACATCATATTATTATGTACACTCAAGCACATCCAATTTTTGTGTTTTGTGTGGGCACGGGCTGCGGCCAAGCTAAATTTTCAGTGCATGCACATGTAGACAGCATCTGAAGACATGGAATTCTGAAGATCTGTGGAACTAACCGCCATGTAAAGATATGTGGACATATATATATAAATATATATATATATATATTATAGATGAACAGGAAAGATCATTCATGTAACACATCTGCAGCTTGCAGGGTCCCGCTGCAAATCGGCTCGAGTGCTCTTCCCCAGACCCTCGCGGGTGCCCGGTCGCGTCATGGGCTACCGCGTTGGTGGGCCATGGGGGTCGGTCACTCCACCGGTGAAGAAGGAAATAGAAGTTGACAATCCAGCCAAGGATGAGCGCTTCTTGGCGAATCTGGATTGATTTGAAGAGATTTGGGTTTTTCTAGACATGATGCGCCCCATCTGGTTAGTCACGGTTAGTCAAAGGTATTACCCCCAGCAAATTGCCATCATGGGTTGAAATTACCCATTTTCAGACAGACCCATTGGGGAGTTGACAAGTTCAGGTGCAAAAAAGATGGGCAGGAAAAACCCTGGGGATTCCTGTGGATGTTCAATGGGTGGATGGCATTGGGAGATGACCAATAGATTCCCATGTATGTAGATTAAGACGGGTCGAAGTAAAGAAGATATGCTGTGATATATATATATATATATACTGTATATGTATTGTATATATATATACACAGTATATATATATATACATTGCTTGGGTACGGCGTGTTTTGGAACATTTGCCATTGGCGAGTAAAAGCGACCCTAGCATATAAAAAGTGCCGACACTGGGTACACTGGGTACAATCAATCTTGGGGATATGAGGCTGAGCGCAACAGATGGTTTGGACCCCAACGAAGCAAGCACCAAAGTTGGGATGGGATAGCCACTGGCCACATGGGTTTTTCTGACCTGGCAAACATGGCAGATTATTAAGATTGAAACGCGCATCATCATTATTGGTACACACCTGACCTAATAACCTTAAATTGTTTGGCCCAGCATGGCGCATCTACAATGGCTGCAATCAGGAACATGTTCATGTCATCCGCATGGATGGGGGTCCTGTTCAGGGAGTGTTTGGGTACAGCCATGTCAGACTGCCGTGGTGGACCTTCGGAGACAAGTTCTCCTGTCAAATCCTTGTTTCATAACCTTATTAAAATCCATTTTTAACATATACAATTAGTTGTAATTCCAGTATCCTCTTTCAAGACATGACCTTGATGTTTGGACCTGCTGATTCGAGCAGTCCTTGTCGGCTGAGGTTTTATGACAACCTACAGCAAGAATTTTGGTTTGGCAAAGCCCCGAGCCCAACTCTATGTAAATGCGCCTTCTTCTATCCGGGCAGAGCCAAATGCTACTCTGACATTGCGGCAAGCGGCTTCATTGAGATGTCCGCCCCCACCAGTGAATACGCTCAACACGCTCAACACATTGACGAAGTCAATGTCAATGTCTGGCATTCGCGGCAGCCTTCAGATAGCGGGCAAAACCTTGACTGCAAGCCTGAGAACTGAAGCTGCGCCATCACCCAGTGATCGAAGGCATTCCTTGCAGTTGAAGACCTTTCAGTCAAGAAACTCTGCAGCAAAATTACGGTGCCGTTTTCCAGGCACTTCTATTTCTGTCCTTTGAGGGGCGAATTCAGCCATAAAACAACGATCCACTCATAGGGAAATCATCCCCTCCAATGGGCCTGCAGATGAATTCATTACAGTATGTTTCCTGGATTTTTATATTAAACCATATTAAACCATATTAAATACCTAGAATTACTGAACTGGGTATGGGGCATTTCACCCTGGTACAGGTCGTAACTTCTGTGAACACCAAAATAGGTGGGATCTGTGGATGTTCATCCGCCAGAATCTGTTCGGGCACGATCTGTGGGATGTTTGCAGCAAACGCAGGCCACTTTTTTTTCGGCCTGCAAGTACATAAATTAAACCACTGTTGATTGGTTATTATACGAGGCTCAATCACCTTTAGTACCTGCATATCCCAATAGCTAATTGTCCCATTCATGATCGGATTTCAACAGTTCTGAAGGGTTCAAGCACCATCCCAGTATTTCTTTGATTCTCATAGACGTCTAAATTAGTTAGATAAATACTGACAAATGAGTTTCAAGTATTTCGGTTGGTGAGTTAATTTACTTATACTATATACATCTCACTATTGTATGTTATGTATGTATGTATATATATATATTCATAGTATGTATATATTTATCATGATAATTATGTACTATAGTTATTATAATTCAATATTATACTATATATTTATACTATATATATCATAATGTATGAATTAGATAAATTCGATCAATTGCTTCCCGGCCTTCGCAGCACCAGACTCCTGGCCAAGGAGATATGCGGCGAAAGTGCTTGGAACTTCTGAGCGAACCCGATTTGAAAAAGATCGCGGTGGACATCTTTAAGAAAAGTTACCTGGATGTTAATCAAACTTGACGATGGCATGAGTTTCAATGATTTTGATATATTTTGATATATGTTCTATAGATGTGCACATATATATATAAATACACGATATATGCGTGCCATGGTCAAGCTAGTTGGATTAGATGAAGCCACATATGGGGGTGGCTCTTCAATCCATTTTCACAGAAAGCAAAACACTTTGACATGGGGCGACCGATGAGTTCAGTTTGGGCATCCACCACTTGTGGACTTGTCCTTAAAAGTATCCCAAAACCTTACGTATCTATCAATCAAATCTTGTCTAATCATGTCTAATCTAATTTCAAAGCAAGACTCATGCAATCTAATCCAATCTAATCCAGTCTATCTACCCTCTGGTAATTTAACATAGCTATTTGAAAATGGCCATTTATAGTGGATTTTCCCATTAAAAATGGTGATTTTCAATAGCTATGTTAGTTTACCAGAGGGTAATCCAATCTATATGGCCGTTTTTGTTGACGGCTTGCCAGCCCAACATGGATCGCATGAGGTGATGTGGATTCAAGCGGACAGTTGGACTTCGACGAAGTGCACAAACTTCTTGAACAGTTGCATAATGATATGGATGCTTGCCCTACAGGATGGTGCCCCCCAGTTATAAGTGGGTTTATAAACCCCATTAACTATAGTTAAAACTGCCATAAACCATAGTTATGGGACTTATAAACCAACTTAGCTAACTATGGGGCACCACCTTGTACCCTCCTGTAATCAAATGTGTCTGGTCACTTGGTCCCTGAAGATTTTTGGAGGTTTATAGCAGGAAATAATCTATAAATGCTGGATTTTCCATGGAAATGCGGTTCTGGCACAAGAATGTACCCACCCTTGACTCAAACTTGGAAACTTGGAAACTGGTCGCGGTTGACCAACTTAAAGTACAGAAGTGCCACAAGCAATATTGCTGTTGTTTTGAAATCTTTTGCGTCAAGAACGTCAGACCTGTCAAGAGGCTGTTCTACCACTACATTTGGTGGTAATATTAGTTTGATACATTTAATCAATATATAGTTGCAGACTTGGATTTTTGATGCGCATGCTACCAAAACACTATAGTGGCCCCTGGAGATCAAAGATTTCCATAGCGACGACTCGCCAGGATTTACCACAACCAAATCGAGACATGGTGGAATCGTTGATGAAGCGCTTTGACACCAGCGGAAAGAAAACTCTGGATGAAAAAGATTTCTTTGAGTGCCCTGTCCTGCATTCTTTTGGCATCCAATCCCAGAGTGTTGTGCTGTTGATTGGAACCAGAACGTGCTCGATGCTTCCCCAAATGATCAAATTAGGCCATATTAGCCATATGTCCATCTGCATCAGACACCCCATACACAGATAATATACAGAAATTCGATCTTCTGTAGATGTGTATATATATATGCATTCAAACCCTTACCATCCAAGCTTTAGCCCAGTTGTAGGCAGGTATCTCATCTGTTCCAGTGGATACATATTATCGATAGAACTATATTGTATATATATATAACTATATATAATATAACTATATATAATATAACTATATATAATATAACTATATATAATATAACTATATATATATATTCTATAAAACTAGATATTGAATATAATTGTATATCATATATATCTAATTATACAATTTATTTTAAACTATATAGTATACACAAAACTATGCATTGTTTAAAACATATATATTTGATTTAACTAACTATATATTTGATATAACTATAACTATATATTATATATACAACTATACATTATATATACAACTATATATTATATATGACTATATATTATATATAACTGTGTATATATATAACTATATATATATAACTGTATATATACTATATATAACTATATATAACTATGTATACAACTATATATTATATACACGTATATTATATATAACTATTATATATATATATATTATATAACTATATATTACGTATATAGCTATATTATATATTTTATTTAACTATACATAATTATATAAAACTATATATTATATATAAAGCTATATATTATATATAACTATGTATTATATATAACTATATTTTATATAGTTATATAAAAATATATATTATGTATAATTATATGAAACTATGTACTATATTATATATATATAACTTTGTATTATATATAATTATAAAACTATATATTGTATATAACTATATATTATATATAATTGTATATATTTTTTAAATTATCCGAAACTGTATATTATATATTATTATATAACATTATATCTTCTATACAACTCTATATTATATGTAATTATATAAAACGATATATTATGTATAACAATATTATATATATAGATATTATATATATACATGTAACTATTTATATTATATAGAACTATATATAATATATATAGCTATATATATTATATATAACTATATATATATTATATATAACTATATATATATATATTATATATAACTATATATATATATTATATAACTATATATATGATATTATATTATTGTATATATATATTATATAACTATATATTATATATAGTTATATATAATATACCATAGCCATGCACCCATCGGTTTTTAGCTAGCCAGGTTATTGGTGTCACAGTTGCGTCGCAGTGCTTTTGACCGCGGATCGGTTCTGGGACGCGAATTCTTCCTGACCAAAGGCAACCGGGGCAAGTGGTGGGAAGGACAAGGATGTGACCATGCTATGTGACTGCGGGGTCATTATCTATAATATACGATACTATATATATATTATCTATATTGTTAGAGATTATAATACGAGTGAGAACAGTTAACATTAAGTATAACCATGGAAATTATAGTGTACAGGAACATATATACCATTGAATTATATTGTTATGTCATATAACATCATGTTACAAACTTTGGCTCCTCAAACCTCGGTTGAGGCTGATTCCAGCAGTCCACTTGGGGGTGTGTTGGCACAGAGTGACTGGGTCAGAAACATATTTTTACACCAGTTACTCTGGTAAACTAACATAGCTATGGAACATCACCATCTTTAATAGGTAAATCAACTAGAAAGGTGCCATTTGCAATAGCTGTGTTAAATTACCAGAGGGTACATACAATATCCACATGTAACTGGTGTATAAACAGCCCCATTATAGAAAAACGATAACCACAAGGGATGGAAATGGGTCATTCTATCTCTTTATCTCCCTATTTTTTCCCCCTTGTATCTGTGTTGGGAGCAACCCTGATAAATATTATAAATGTTATAAATGTCATAAAATGTTATGAACATACTAACCATTTATCCCCAGTTAGATGAACGGCTTTGTAGCAACCCATAAAGATCCGAGAGGAACAAACAATTGATTCCACCATGTTCAGGCCATAAAGGAACCATGGTGGTTCCAAAATCACAGGAAAACCGTGTCAAAATTTGGGGAGCCTTTCAGGCCAGCAAGATGTTTGGGATGTGTATCGGAGAGAGAAGCAACTGGGCACCGGTTCCTTTGGCACTGCTTATCAAGCGGTGAACATCAAAACACACGAGGAGCGGGTGATTAAAGCGGTAGCGCGACGGCAACGGGTCGCGGGCCAGTGATATGTGGGGCTGACGCACAAGCATAAATCACGCCTGGGTTTTTCATATGTTACATTGTTACATTATCTGTTTGAAACATACTCAAACAGACCTTGAAAACACTTTAGCTGATTTTGATATATTCTTTTGTGGTCAAATTTGGTTTACAACAAATTATGGTTTGTTTATATGATGTGCCTTGGGTCGTTCATGCCTTCCTCATGGCAAATCTGCGGACGACCTCGACCTAGGTCAAGAAGAGCCGTACGGCATTGCCACTGGATGAGATTGAACAAGAGATCTTGATCATGAGGCTGTCACATGTCATGTCATTCTTGGTGATTTCCACAGGATTCAAGATGTAAATGACATATTTTTTTTATTCCTGCACATGGAGGAACAATTTCTAGATACAGTACATATAGTTGATCATGAGGCTGGGAAGAGATGTCATGGGTGCATCAAGGTTCCAAAATTGAAATTGAAGGGCAGCCCAGAGGGTACGAGGGACGCACGGCAGTGGTCCTTTTTTGGGTCTGAAATCGTTCAAATTGGATGGTCAGTAATTTTGAATCAATACCATTTGGGTCTCAACATACTGCAGATATATGGCACAGCCAGAATCTTGACCCACACTCTTCAGTCACCAGAGCTCCTAGGGTTGAGCTTTGGCCCTTGAGATAAGTTGAGGTATCTGCAAAAGAGATGGATAAGAAGACATATGGTAATGGTGGTTGGAAATATCCTCGATGATTTGGGCTTCTTCCATTTTGAGAATGAGTGATTTAAATTCCATTTCGTATATTTTTTCGGTGGCTCAACCAGGAACTAGATACCTTCAAGACAATTCTTGGGGGTCAAAACTGGTTTCTTTTCACACAAACATGTTTTTCATGGGCAGGTTGGATATCCGAAGGTACCAACTCGCCACTCTAAATCCCCTCGCCGAAACGAGATCCTTGGGAGGCAAATTGATCACCCACACATGGTGCGGCTTTTTGAGTGGTATGAAGACGGAAATCGTCCCTCAGCGGTAATGCAAAGGCAGTGCGTTCTGACAGTCGGGGCTTTGGAATCGCAGAATTGCGTCCTCATTTTTTGAAAACAGACATGCCGGATATGTAAAGAGTAGTTTTGAGGTTCCTGATGAAAGAGGATCTCAAGATGCTATGTTCAAGATTTTATGGTCCTAGAACAAAATGACCTTCGGAAGGTTGCGGTCGCAACATGGGTACAGGTCAAGATTCAAAGGCCTGAGAACCATAGATTCTGGTCGTGGTTCCTACTTGCCAGGAGCCATCCACAAACTCAGAGGTCATTTGTACAGCTTGACCTGGTTTGTGCTCAATTACATGTGCCTATTTTAACCAGTTATCCCAATTCATATTCCAATGAAACCTGGGTTGCAACTCTAGTGGACTGAAGAATTGTTGTCTTGATGTGACACCATATACCCACGTCTTGGAGGGTGTAAGCTTCATAAACAGTTTCCACCACCTTTTCAGCCAAAGCTCCAAAGTTCAGACCCTAAGGTGTCTACTTGGTCCTTGATTATTTGAAAGGCGGGTCCTTGAAGGACGTCATCGTGCAGCTGAACAAGAAGGATGAGCGAGGTCTGAAAGAGGCCTGGATCAGGGAGGTCATCCAACAAACTGCCGGTGGCTTAGCATATTGCCACAATCTGCGGCTCATTCACAAAGATTTGAAGCTCGGCCAGGTTAAAAGGCCAGTGGTGCAATGCTGGTTAAAAATGTTAAAAGGCCACGGTTAGTATATAAGTGAAAAGGCAATTTTCCGTGAGTGTTTTGATGCCTTCTCGAATGATGTCAACATCCGAAACCTGCTTTCCGAACCACCAGTGGACAAAGTCTGTGTTTTAATTTGTTTGGCTTCGGCTGCAAGTACTTCCCAGGAAAGATGAGAACATTATGCTTTTGGAGAAGCCTGTGCCTTGCTTGCAGATACGTCGATGCCAAAAAAGGGGAGGAAATCCGGTGGATAGTCCCATGAAGAATGGCAGCCATGGCAGGTGTCAAGTGCTGCACATGTTTGATGTGAACTGCTTGGGGTGGCAACCCTTCAATATCTCCTGGATCGCCTCAATCCAGCAGTGCCATCCTGGTTGAACCTCAAGAAAAAACCTCCACTTTTGGATCGGGAAGATAAACCACAAGCAGAAAAATAGGAGCCAAGCACCCACCAATTGTAGGGACTTTCCTGGATCATTGCGATTCGAATCCATGATTCGCTTGTTGTGGCGATACGGGGTGGAAGCCTTTCGGATTCGATCAGAGATGCACTAATAATCACTAATATCTTAAAGGGGAGTGTCTAAAACCGTCTAAGCTTACATATCCATTATTTACTCCTTCCCTTCAATTGGTTATTATATAGACTATATAGATGTTATTTATGGATTAGAATGATGAGATAGAATGATATGACCAGTTTCTAGCAGGGTATACATACCATTGGTGTCCTTTTCCCACTTGTCGGTTGATTCTGAAAAAGAGGTAACGCCCCCCATTCCTAAATGATGGTCAATTCTTGTCTACTTGTTACCACCGGTTTTTTAAAATTCACTACATCCTGCAAAGCCTGAATTTGACATAGAACCCCAAAAATAGAGGTTGGACGATGATTGTCCTATTGAATTTGGCTATCAATATGAGTTCGATGAAACATCTATGGGGTGTAATCTCACGGATCACACAGTCAGCCACTTCTGAATCAATTAATGATGAGGGGGTGATCTCCCCGAATCGTGATCGTCTGCAATCAAAAGAAATTACATATTTAATTATATATGGCAGTGTGTCAAAACCTTGTACCCCTGGTGAACATCAAAATAGCTGGTAAATGGATGTTCATCCCACTAAAAATGGTATTAATAGGTATTGATCCATACCCATATATATATATATTCCCCCAATGATCAACAACAGAGGGTCAACTGTCATGGCTTGGAAATTCTACACAACAAGCTGTCTGATTTTGCTAGGATATCCCATTGTATTATGTTCCCATTATATGCCCATTATATCACTACTATCTCCGCATGATTTGTTGGTAAAGTAGCCCATGGTTATAAGTTACATCATAGAAAATCCCATTACCAAAACAAAGTTGGTTGGGACACTATGCTTATATTCCAATTATATTCCTACTATATATATATATATACATATATATATATATATCCAGGGCTTTTATGCATACGTTATAACCATAGCAATTCATAGCCCCAGTTTTTTTTTTTTTTCGCAGGACAAGTGGGAGAAGCCTCATGCAGTGATCATCGACCTGGGTGTTGCAGAGATGTTCAGTGTAGCAGATCCTGCGGGGCGCTTTATTGGTGGCACCCCCACCACCATGGCGCCTGAGGCGAGGTTTCCTACGTTTTTCACCGACTTGAAGGGGAAAAACACAAGTGGGAAATTCATCACAACAAAATGGTTTGGAAGTTGGTTTTCTTGGAATTAGGGCCATCGTGGGTGTAAGCTCACTCATGGACCGAAACAGGCATGGTCAATTTTGCAAAGCTCTGATTTATATAGCAGGGATTTGTTGCTGGTCTTTCATATAATATGTCAGCGGAACTTGGGCAGTTGTTATATGAAAACCTCCAAAAGAAACAACAGCTATGTAACAGTTGGATTCTTGATGTGCCTTGTGTACAGCTGAACCCCTGAGGTGTGGTTAGGCAACTTCGGACCCAAGTGCGACGTGTGGTCTTTGGGATGTATCATGCGACTCGCTGATTTCAAGCTTTGGAGATGGCAGGGAGTTTGGCATCTTTTCTTTCCCAAGAACTTGGTAAAGAACTGGTGATTTCTTGCTATGTTCTATGCGGACATCACTGGGATATCAGTCCATTTTCCTTTCCCAGTCACCCAGTCCATCTCAAAAAAAACATGGGACAAAGTGACAAAGTGACCATAGAAACCCAGTCCATCTCTTATTTTTCATGAGGCAAATCAATTTGTGACCATAGTTCGAAATGGGAGACAAATGGCCAATCCTGCCCATGTCGACATGGGATTCTCATCATCTCATCTCCCAGGTTCGAGCTATGCACCGGCGCTTTGCCATTTATGGCCACCACGGTGCAGCCATCTGCATGGACCCGATTGCACAAGCGCGGCCCAAAGTGGGAGGAGATGAAGACTTGTGCAGAAAGCAAAACATTGTGCCACTTGGAAAATTTAATTTGATTGGATCAACAAAAATGTGAAAAAACACGTTGGAAACACATCAGATAAAAAGGAGCATTAAAAAAGAGCACCAACTGTAGTAAAATTGGCTAATGATGGGAATGCCATCGTAAATCTGAAGGTTGGTTTCAAATACTTTCAGCACTAGTGTTCTATTTCTTGAAAATGGATGATGAAAAGCCAATGACTTTCAGAGCTATAGATCACTATACAAAGACAATCTTATACAATCTTATTATAATATGACAATACTTGTACGTATAACCAGCCGTGTGTTGTAGCCGCATCTGGGGATCAACTGAAACCACCAGCCACGACAGTGTGACAGGCAGAGCGATGCTTCAGTATAAAGAAGCAGATCGTCCTTCAATGATGGAAGTTCTGGACTTCGAATACTTCCAGACAGCAGCTCATGAGCCCCCCGGATGGACGTTGACGTAACTGATTTGATCGAATTCCTTAACCCAGAAAAGTGAAAAATCGGATTTGGATGGTTTTGGGGAGTTTCATCTTGACCTTGCTGCTCATCTTTCTTCTAGACATCACCAGTTGATAAAATCATCTTCATTGGAAATCTACAGTGACCATTTCCCTGCAGTATTTCGGATTTGTTGGAGCCTTTCCGAAACCCTTCACCAAAATTCCGATCCACCCGATCCGCCGAGCTCAGCGGCGCTCCGAGGCTTAAGGTGGTGCCACCCGAGAGGTTCACGAATTTCCTCAACGCGCACAAGCTGCACCGCGCGCGGCAGGGGCTCCTCCTGGAGATCGCCTCCAGGATGCCCTTCGAGCGCGCGGGGGAGATCATTCGGATGTTCTCGGAGGTGCCATTGTTGGTTTGGCAGCCTATCTGAGGGTTAGGATTTATGAAGGGTTAAGCATATCGCAACCACGTTTTTTGGGGCGATTTTTAACCATCCAATCATTGGGTCACCTGATTAAGAATGGTAAAAGGATGCAATTTAGGTGTACCAAACCGACTCCAAAGAGTTTTCTCAGCATCATTGGACCTCATTTGTGCCTTTCCCATTTCATCGCAAAAATCTGGGAAGAACGGAAGCCCATTCGCCCATTTCACGCAGCCAGGTGGATGCAGATCATACCGGGACCATTACGTTGGATGAGCTGAAAGCATACTTCGACAGGGTGGGAATTCAGCATGACGACCTTGCGAAGACCTTTCAGGCTTTAGATGTGGACAAGGACGGGGACTTTCTGGGATGCTGCATCATTCCGGGTTGAAAGTGGCTAGGACTAGGAGCTGTTATGTTTGTATCCTAGGTTACAATATCACACAATGGAATCACACAATATCACACTGTAGAATGTACATGAATATACTTACTATGTAAAGTATATACCGGACATAGTAGTGGGTTATAATGCAGTTGCTAAGCATCCTCTTTTTTGGATTGTCACAGTACCAGTCAGAAGCTGTCAGGAAGCCGCCCAAGTTGAGATGCATTTGGCTAAAAGAAGAAGGAGGGCTATTTATTTTTTGCTTTTTTTTTTGCGGCAGGTTTTGGAATTATTTTTGGGTTCCTGGTTCTATGCTTTCCTGCTTCTCTGCTTTTCTGCTTCTCTGCTTGTCTGCTTCTCTGCTTGTCTGCTTCTCTGCTTTACCTGCTTCTTTTCTTTTCTGCTTCTTTGCTTTCCCTGCTTCTCTGCTTCTATTTCTACTATTCTACTTTTTATTTTCTTCAGTCATGTGTTTTTGCTGCTCTACTTCCTGCTCCTCTGCTTCTCTGCTTCCTGTCTTTACTGCCTCTTTGTTTTTTCTTTTCTTTTGCTTTATTCTCTCCTGTTTGTAAGCACCCTAGGTGAAACCCAAAGAAACCTTAAAAAAATCCTGATAAGAACTCCTGATAAGAAACCCTACATGAAACCCTAAATGAAACCTCAAGAAACCATTACTTAACCCTAAAGAAACCCTAAATGAAACCCTACATGAAACCCTAAATGAAACCCGACATGAAACCCTAAATGAAACCCTAAAGAAACCCTAAATGAAACCGAAAAGAAACCTGAAATGAATCCCTAAATGAAACCCTAAATGAAACCCTTTTAAAGAAACCTTAAAGAAATCCTAAATGAAACCCTAAAAAACCCTAAAGAAAACCACATGAACATTTGAATATCCTGATAAGAAACCCTACATGAAAACCTAAAGAAACCCTAAACGAAACTCTAAAGAAACCCTAAACGAAACTCTAAAGAAACCCTAAACGAAACTCTAAAGAAACCCTAAACCTAAAGAAACCCCAAATGAAACCCTAAAGAAACCCTAAATGAAACCCTACATGAAACCCTAAATGAAACCCTAAAGAAACCTTAAATGAAACCCTAGATGAAACCTAAATGAAACCCTAAAGAAACCCTAAATGAAACCCTAAAGAAACCTTAAATGAAACCCTATATGAAACCCTAAATGAAACCCTAAAGAAGCCCTAAATGAAACCCCAAATGAAACCCTAAAGAAACTCTCAAGAAACCCACATGAACGTTTGAAGTATGTACCAAAATGTAGCAAATCCATGCAAATGAGAGGTTGAAGTGCCAAAACGTGGCAAATACCATGCAAAATGGAAGGCACACATGGCCAAAAATTGCGAATATCATGCAAAATGCAAAGTGACCATGCCAAAATGTAGCAAATACTGTACAATGCAAAATGACAGATTCTAGTTTCAAACTGGTGCAAATACAAGGCAGATGGTACCAGGAAAGAAGGCCAACAAAAATCCTAAACCTGAGCCAAAAAAATCCAAAAATCCCCCTGCACCATCCTGCACCCTTTTTGCCACAAGTGGTCAATATCATCAGATTCAGATGGCCACAGCCAGCATTCAGCTGAAATGACTGGGAAAATGGCGGCATCCCAAAATGAGGCAGAGTCTCTCCAACACAATAGCTCATGATAGTTCATGTAAATTATGCTCTTTTTGTTGGCTAAAGTTGATTGTTGGGGTCTGCCCCAAAAGCACAGGATGGCTTCTTGTCCTTCAGCGAGTTCTCCAGTGGTGCCCTTCTACTCTACCAAGATGCGTTGGAAGACGAACTGCATGTGCTCTTCTCCAGTAACTGGGAGATGGTGGCGAACAAACATGGCCTGCTGGAAAATCCACCATTCATAAAATGATGTTTTCCCAGCTATAAACCTCTTATGAAAAAGGGGATTTCCTGTTGCCACGTTTGATTGGGGGAGGATATATATATATGATTAGTATAACCCATAAAAAAGGGTAATAAATGGCACTCATGAATGGTTTCAATATGAAGAATCTGTGTGAGAATTTCTAAGCCCAACCCCAGTGTCAGGAGGTTCCCCTTCTGCAGAGGGTAGGTTCCCTAAAAGCCCCGAGCTTCTTTTGGACCACAAAAAGCATGGTTGACCCAACTGTTGCTAGTTTCAAATTTTCAATCACTCAGAAAAACCATGTTGGTGTCAGATTTTAAACCCCATGAACCCAGAAAATTCTGGCATAATTCTGGAAGTTCATCCTGGAATAGTAGGGCGCATAACCATCAGGATTGCACAAGCTTTGGGCCCTGTTACCACTCACTGAAAGGAATTCTCAAATATGATAAGAATGGAGGTACGCTGGTGCTTGTGGCATACATTATGTAATTATATACACTTACATGTTTGTAACCCAAGGTACATAGTTGGTTAAACTAGCATTGTAGCCGGACCCTTTAGCTTGCATGTTCGGTCCATCACTTCCCTCTACTTGAATATGTATCCCAGCGCGTCTGTAACTGTAGCTCTCTCTACCTCTATGTATTCATCTTCCAGGCAGCTATAAACTATGGATATACCCACCTAAGCCTAAGTCAATGAAATCACATGTAAATCTACGGCATGTACCTTGAATCTTTCATTATTTTATGGGTCAAGAACCTCCAACATAAGGCACTTGGTCTCGTTGTCGAGGTTATGACTCCGATGGCAAGGGCTACTTGACCCCCGCCGAAGCTGAGAAGTTCCTGGACAGCGTGCGGGCAGCCACCGACCTTGGCGGAAGGTGGGCGCGACTGAGGCAATAGGATCCACCCAAAAGTTGACCATCTTTATGGTTGGAAACATGAATATCTATATCTTAAGATCTAGATCTCCATTGCATGGATGGTCAGACATTTTATCGGTATGATTCGCCGGTATGACAGGATGATTCTTGACTTTTGTTGGGGATTCCAATTTCATGCTCAGTTCGGCCAGGGCCTCCTCCCAGATTGACGCCTTCGTCAGAAGTGGTCAGATCACCTTCCAACAACTCAGGGATTTCTTGGTGGCTCCGGTCTCCAGCCGTCCGTCCTCCTGCCTCTCACAATCGTCGCTACGGTCAAACCGTTCCAACCGCTCCAACCGCTGAGACGTGTCAGAAAAGTCACCCTGAAACTGGGTCACGAAAAGCTCTGTTGGAATTTCATTGGAATTTCATCATGCATGAATTCCACATTGGGATGAACCAAGTAACTTAAGCAAAAGATCATAGCGATTGAATGCGAGATCATGTGGCTATACTGAAAGTCTTGTGATAAAAACCAAGATTTTCACATTGCTTTCGCCATTTATGAACAGCCCTATCAAAAACTCTCGCCACGATCAGTTCGTGGGGGACCGGGCACGAATCCGGAGCATGGATCGATTCGATTTCTTCCCTCCGGGGTTCATCCCAGCATTGCTCCAATAATGGGGACTGCATTGACAAACGTCATGCAGAGGACGACGCAGATCAGATAGAAAACAGAACAGGGTTTGTCCTCACTCAGGAGTTATTGTTACACGTCGAGCAATGGCTTCTGACCCAGTATGCGTCTTGGGGATGCTTCAGGCAATGTTTACGGCCTCAGGATGACGATTATGATTAAGTGGTGTTGAGGTCTTGGAGTTTCCAAACTGTGAAAGAAATGCATCAAAATCCCATTGGCATTAGTGATAAACTTGATTAATACATTATCATGGGGTCCCTTTTTTCCAGGATGGAGCAACAGTCGGACGTTGCCAGAAAAATGTGTCAGTCTTTGATCACAAAAGGGAGAATCTGCACTTCTTTTGTATGACACGCTAAACATCAGAATGGTTTTGGAATGTCTAAGGTTATGGTTATGCGGCCATATTCTCGGTTATTGTCAACCCCTGCGTTGTTTAATTTCAGGATTCCATTTTGGTTTTAAACCCTTTCCAAGGTAGCTCCCCTTGTCAAAATAACCGGGCTTTTAGACCAAGCAACCGGGGTGTTGCAATTACAACTCCCGTTGAGGTCTGACCAAAACCACTGTTGGCTGATGATTATCTAGGGGTATACCAGCTGGTCTAGTGAATATCCGGCCAATTCATTCTGACACTGTCTACTTCTTGATATGGGCCGGGGTCGTTCAAAAAGATATCCTTTATATTCCTTTATATGATATGGTTAGGGTACAGGTTACTTAAGGTTATACAGGCTTATCTATGCTTATCTAAGGTCATGCATGATTGATCATGGATAGTTATACTAAATACATCCCATGAGTTAGGATCCCGTCTAATCCCATCCCCCGAATAATAAACTTTTCCCGGAAACTATTAATCATATTGTTGGTGACTCAAATCCAATGATATCCCCATTGAATCCCATAAACATCTCATTAAATCGCAGTCAAATCCCATTAACATACCATGAAATCCCCATTTTTGTGGATTGAATCACAATTTTCCCATTCAAATCCCCATGATCTTTGGATGACAAAGCCCTGGTTCCCGGCCTAAGTTTTGCCAGCCTCAGGCGTCTCCATGGGCCTCAGCGTTTCCTCCGTTGGGGGTCAACTTCTCTTTATCGAGGCCACAAAGATCGTGCGGCGTCACAGCCACTCCTGTTGGTTGATGATTAGTTTGGAATATATATACATATATATATGTATATATATATAGACAGTAGTTATATATATATATACATACATAATATATACATATACCTGAATCTTCCACCTACGTCTTTTTTCAGACCCTGTGCCAAAGTCCTGTTTTTTCAGTACCCAGAAAACTTTTCAGGACCTACTCTCAAATTCAGGACCTGGCCATTTTGGGGTATCAATGGTAATGGCAATCATTGGGTGCAAACATGTGAAACCAACATTTGGTGGATATATATATATAAACATAATATAAACATACATATTATATATATATATATAAACATAATATATATATATATACATATTCATATACATGGGATTTACAGTAACTATCAAGCATATTTGGGGATATAGTCTGATATATATATATAGTTGATAAGTGCTGGTTGGTTGATGATTAGTTCGTCTCATGAACCAGTCCAGTGGTGAATGGACGAAGCGCTGAACAGAGCCAGTTGGCGCTACGAATTGGCTTTCCCAACCACATGATAGTCAAGCCATTTATTAAGATCAATACTGCTTGGTGGGTTGAAGAACTATATTTTCCAATGATCAATTATTACCCTCTGGTAAACTAACATAACTATGGAAAATCACCTTTTTTAATGGTAAATCAGCTTTAAATGGCCATAGGGTACATCATGGTTGTCAGGGGTTGCAACAGCTGGCATAATTTTGAGCGATTCCTCCGGCAACGGGAACTTCACCAAGCATGGGGATATGTAACAGAAATGATGAATTCATCTGCACGGGGGGACGGTTTGGATTTCACAGTCAAACATGGGAATTGCATGATTTTACCGTTTTCAACAAACGTGGGGATTGTCAACCACCAACATAGAACTGGACAAACTTGGATAAATAAACCACTCCGTGAAGCTTAAAATAAGTTCTTTGTTGACATGAAAAATATAGAATCTGGCTCAGAAGTTGCGGGATCGAGGGTATCGAAGTTTAGTCATGTTTGAGAATGGGTCAACATGTGGGCCATGTGAGCTACAGATGGGTCGGATACCCAATGATCTGACCCGTTCACAATTTTCCATTGCAAGCGTTGTCCATTCTGGAAAAAATCCCGCTGTCAACAACGAGAAGCCATCTAGTTTTAAACATACAGAATATAATTTTCATGATTTTTCCATGTTTCCCCTTTAACTGGGATGCTGATCCCAATGACTTTGAAGGTTTTTTTTCGCGCCAAGGTTGGGAGCGGCAAGTTGACCGTAACAGGCACGGTCCGTCGGTGTTCTGAAGGGACCATTGGATGTTTGGCCCAGCATAGCTGGTGGTTTTTTGGAGGTTCCTTGGCATGTTTTGGCTCAACAAATCTGATTGATTCTGATTGTATATTGTATACCAATAGTATCCAGATATTGATGATTCCGTCGGGCCCCGCTGTTGATCAACCTCGATGACACTAGTTGTTTATGGGTTGAAAGCGGCAACCTGCAAGGTGTTTGGGAGTCAGAAAGCAAATTGTAGGTGTCAAAAGTATCTTCGTGCTTGAACATTTGGACATCATTTGGACATGTAGGTCACGGATTTTTTTGAGGAGCATGGACCACAATGGAGCTTGTGTGGGTGATTTGCCGGCATGAACTTGCAATCACTTCTACTCCGCAGTGTGCTGCATTGCTACATGAATTCAATAATTAAGTCCACCTGAAGCGGAAGCCTATCGCATTGACCAGTTCAAGAATGACCAATAAACTCCGGCTCGAAACCATGGCAAGATGTGCATGTAAGCTCTGACACTTCCAGTAGTTACTAGTTGCACTCGTTGTTGGTTAGCATTTCTGAACATCTTATGTTCCAAATGGTTGATTTTCCACTCCCTGATCAGGTCAATTGGGCAAAGTGATGTTGGAAAGTGTACCATTCTCAGCAGAACGGCATTGCCATGGACGTTTGACACCAGCTGGTGCTCTGCGGTCGTTCTTGTTCGACAATCTATATATATAATATTATATATTATACGTATGTATAATACATGTGCATAGGATTGCATATTATATTGCATCAGTATATGTGTGTAATTATATATATATATATATTATACACATACAAGTCACGAAACACGTGTGAGGTATATGATTATATATGTATATATAAACACACATATGTATATGTATGCACTGTATTTATCAACACATGTCATCTTGTTGGAGATGTGCCCCAGTTCTGGCCCAGAGTTGCGGTGCAGAGTCATCCTCCCCACCGTTTTTCAATGCCAATGATGGTTGCTGGAACCAAGCGACAAGTTACACGTTCTTGTCATCCCCAAAAAGAATCAAACAGATATAAACATGAATTATCAATCTTTCAATAGGGATTTACCATTGATTTACCTGCTTATCCTTTTTTGGGAGAACTGTATTTCCCAATTTGCTTGTTGGTCGTGCTTGCCTGTCAGGTTTTGAGTAACGATCAACTTCAGGAAGACCAGATCCAGCGGTTTTCCAGCTTTTCTCTGGCAGATCCCCATTCTCTAGAAGAACCCTAATTCTATAAGAACTACTATATTATAGGGAATATACATATTATAGGGAATATACATGAATATACCTTGTTCATTTCTGTTCATTTTTGGAATGCAGAAAGGAGTCTTCAGGGACCGTTCTTTCAGCCTCGGTCACCGTCACATCAGGTGGAGACGGCCTTGTCGTTGCTTCGCAGTCGCTTCGTGCGACTAAGCCAAAGCCACTTGGTGCGAAGTAAGTGGTTTACAAGCCATATATAATTGGAGATATCATGAGATATCCCATACACAACTATAGACTATAATCTCGTTTGTTCTGTTGTTTTATAATGTTTTATATAGCACTCCCAAGTAGGGTGAACTGGTCGAAACGAACTTCTGAGTTTAGGTTTGGGCGTCCTGAATCCCAAGAATATGTTCAAGCCACTTTGTGTCATGTTCCCATAAATACGTGGGGTAAATAGGACATCTAAATAAACCCACCAGGCAAATGGCACAATATAAGGGTCCACCAGAAATGGAACCCCTACTACTTGATGGTGATGATTACTTTTCTATCCTCTTTCCGACCACTGTTCAAGCCCCTACTTCAAGTCATTCAAGGGAACTCCTGATGCATTATTGTGCAACGGTGATCTAGATTGTTGCTGTTTGTCATCTTGTTCGATGTTGCTTCGGCATTTTGACCGAATATTCCAAGGTATGCCATTCTAATCACTGAGGAAATTCCTGGGATAATACCCTCCGGTAATTTAACGTAGCTATTGAAAATGGCCATTGAAATCGTGGATTTTCCCATTAAAAATGGTGATTTTCCATAGCTATGTTAGTTTACCAGAGGGTAATAGTCCAAGAAGTCCGAAACCTCGGCAAAGCTGCCCATGTTTAGAGGTCCAGGGCCTCCACAAATCTTCAACTTTGAGACCGGGAGGCGAGATGGAGAAATACCTGGGGGCAAAAGAACCCAACGATACCTGGAAAATGCTTACCATATATATAATACTATAAATATATTAATATATTATTATATATTATATATATATTACATATTTGACATATTTTATATACATCTATACTGCATATTTCTTGTTTGTTATCGTTAATATATTATCGATTGTATTGGATACCATGTATATATTTATATTACATAATTACTATTGTACATGTACTGTACATTATAGATCCATACAGGATAAGCGCCTATCAATGATCTGACTGCGCCAGGATGGAACTTGCTCCCGATGCTGTGGATGAGAAGTCGCTATCCCCCCCGTGTGCAAGTCATTGTGGGAACAGACATGGGATATCTAAAGGGTTTGAACGGCTATACAATGGGAATATATCATAATGTATCCATTTGAAGTGGGATTTTCTGGACTTATAGGAATATGATAGGATAAAATAAGATGGGATATCATGATATAACATGATATATTTTTATATTATATACGCAGCAACACGATATTTGGGTATGTCACTCTCCAGCTACCGCCATCAAATAGTAGGGATAATGATGATGTTCTCAATGGATTTAAGGATGTTTTCAGACAATCCCACACAGAGTACCCCGCTAAGAACAGGTTCACATATTCAAATCTGCATACTTTTTGGGGCTCCTTATTACCCACCAAAATTGTTTCCAGGCCATTTTTAGAAGCTTCCAGCAGCGTCACTGGCCGATGCCACCACACTTTTCTTTGGTGGGAATTGGTAGCCGGGTAGTTCTCCCAGAATGGCTGAACTTTTCAGGTGGATATATGACATTTCACTCATCCAGATGCGATGATATGTTTTTTTTTATTGAGCCATCCCCCACAGGATTTCCCACTTGGAGCTGCAGTTGTGCTGAAACCAATGGATTTTCAGCACCCCCATAAGCTGGGATATGGGCCCCTTTTTTTTAGGGCCGTGTAGCCGCACAAAGTAGGTGGTAACTGCACCCCCAACTCTGCGCGGCCGCCTCATAGCTGGAAGACATGCTGGATGTGACCCCCCAATGTGCTGAAGATTTCCTACAGAGCATGGGTGGAGATCACTGGAATTCTGCTTGACTAAGCGATCCAGACTGCTGAGGGTGTTGGTTTCATCCACGGTTTCAAACTGTTTCGCCCAACAAGCAAACAGATGTGATGGTGTGATAGCTTGGCTTGGAGCATCAAGCCCGTGATACATCACCATGAATCCGGTTCGGGGTCCTGATGTTCCCCGATTCCGGGGGTGACAGTGCTTAAAATCGTGGTTGAATAGAGTGGTAGCCACCAACCACCAACCATCCAAAACTCGGCATATGCCCCACTTAAAATGGTGGTAGACAGTCGAAATGATGATTTTTTGCTTATGCCTGGTCCACCAGAAATTGCCAAAGATATCCATCTCACACCTTCCGCTGTTCCCAATGGAGCCATGGATGGCACACTGTTGCCCAATGATGGTGCGGTCACAGCAGGTCGGGATGTTTTTTGTAGCCCACCTTCTGCCTATTTGGTGTTTTCCGGGATTATTATCTGGGTTCTTTTGTCAAAACCCTCTCTTTCCGTGGTATCTAAGTTTCTGGTGGATGTCCATACCTCCAAATATGGTATTGTAGGTTGAAAAACATTTTCAACTCATCCCCATCTCAACCCTATTGCACGCCAATATCAGCTATTTAATGTTCCTTGTTTTGCAAAACAGCTTCTAGTTCGTCAAGATGCTTATCATTGTTGGTGAAATCATGTGAAACCTATTTTTCTTGTTAACCCCCAATTCATTTGCTCAAACTCGCAACTTTGTCGTGGTCAAATCATCTTCATTGCTGCTGGTTAAATCCCAATCATTGCCTGAAGACTTTCCCTTTTTCTTGATGAAAACACAACAGACTGCTTTGAAACTTCAACAAGCCCCACCCTTGGCTGATATGTTCTGAACATTCCCATACATTTGCACACTTGTTTTGGTTCTTCAAGGCTTGGCTTAATACGCACCCTTTCAATCCCCTCAACAACACTCAACAACCATCAAAACGTGTAAAGCAACCCTCAAAACCCTCCAAAAAACCCTTCAACCCCCTAGAACACATTTTTTTACAGACCCTTTACCATTAAAGCCCCACGAACTAAGCCCACCGTTGCTCCATCAGGCTCTCTGCGCCCGGCGCCGGTGGAGAAGCAACGCAGTCGCCGCCGGGCCGACATGGACGGATGGACGCTGCAGGCGAGGTCGATGGGTGAGGTCGATGACCCAGAGACCGGGGGGGATGAGAATCGGATGAGAATTTCCATCTGGATTTTTTCCATATAGTCATGGGGGTACCCCAATAGCTGGTTTTTTTCATGGAAAATCCATCAATTGATGATTTCTAGGGCTACCCCCCATTGATGGAAATCTCTATATGATTCTATGACATGGTGAAGAGTCGGATTGTACACATTTATGCACTGCAAATCACTACGAAATAGGTCAATATGATGGACTATACAACTGCTATATTGGGGCATGGTATGTTCATTCCATGACCATGACCAGTCAGGGATGACCGTAGCCCCAAGGTTTTGACCATATATGATTATATAGTAGATGAGATTGAAAAATATTGAAAATCGAATGGACATTGTAATGTATCTGATTCTAAAATATTCTATATACTGTAAATGTGTCTTTATAGGCTTATTATTTCGTTGTCAGTATTGCTCTTTCCGCAATTTTGCTTTTATGTTTGTACTGTTCTTGTATATAGTGTTATATAATATATACACGTATGTATATTATATGTTAAGAGGGGCTACTGCCTTGTTTGTTTTGTTTTGTTTTGTTTTGTTTTGTTTGTCTGTCTCTCTGTTTGTTTGTTTGTTTGTTTGTTTGTTTCTTTGTTTCTTTGTTTCTTTGTTTCTTTGTCTGTCTGTCTGCCTGCCTGTCTGTCTGTCTGTCTGTAAATTAGATTCAGCTTCTTCTGCCTTTTTCTTGTCGATACAAATAAGCACATTTTCAGAGGGCTGCTGCCCAAACAGCTATTTTCTGCTGTTTACCATGTTTTTCAGAAAGCTGTGTTCATCGTCGTGTCGTGTCTTTCCTTTGAAGTTCACAAGCGAAGTCCGAAGCAGCCGAGTGTGACTGTCCAGGAGAGACTTTCCACACTCCTCTCCTGGGACGAAGGTGCTAGGCCGCAGACTGAGCTGACAGACTGTGTTTCTAAAGTGGGATGGCCAAAGAATATTAACCAGGTCCATCAAGGTCGCAAAAAAAATGCCAGTTGAACTACAGCAACTAAGCCAGTTTGTTGCACCATGTTGCGCGCCAAGCGTGAGGACCCTAGCCCTGAAGTTGTACAGTCGCTTCGAGGGAAATTGTGAGAAGTTGCCTCCGCTCCTCGAACTCTTGGAGGTGCCACTGGCTGGGGCGCCGTGGCACGGGTGTGTTTGGGGATCATCAACGGTCGACCGACATGTCACCACTAGTGATTCTATCCATCCAACCATCCATCTATATCCATTTATCCATCCATCCAATATCTAATATCTAAATATCTAATCTTGTCTAATATCTAATCCAACTTCTGATATAATACCTAAGCTAATCCAACTTATTTAGTCTACAGTATTGTCTAAGTGTCTATCTACACCTGGATGCCACAGGTTGTCCAGGGGTCTTCCACGCAGGAACGCTGGGGCTTTCCCCAGCGCTTGTGGCCGTTGCTGTGGGCGCAGCTACGACGCGAAAACAAGGGGCCCTTGAAGCGAATTGGAGGCGTTCAGGTGCGCGGCTCAGACCAAGAGTCCTGTGTCATCAACCAGTAGGTTTTGGGCACACATTCAATACATTTCAATACTAAAGCAGAAGTTTCCGGGGGGATTTCATTGCATCTCCATGCATCTCCAACATTTGTCCAGCTGGCAGGCTCCAGAGTTTGTGAGCCAGGGGCAATGGCTGGCCGCCTTCAGCAGGCGACCAAGATGTGGGTCTCTCATCACCATGGACGGACATGGGGATTTCAATAGATCTACCCTCCGGTTGCATGAAAATCATGAAACCTGGGGATGAATATCAATATCCCACTGTTTGATCATGAACATCATTTGAAGATCATGCATGAATACTCATGAAATATATGAGGGATTTTCCAGCCAGGTTAGCGTGCTAGCTGCTAGAGGGTTTCTGAAACGTAATGAACCAGTGAGACATTGAAAGTCAACCCAGGAGATCGGTGTAGTGACTACTTACCGTCATTATGTATATATAATGTCTATCAATGTCTATACGAAGGTTTCCATAAATGGGGGGTACCCCAATGGCTGGACGGTGAATTCCTGGAAAATCCGAAAATAGAAGGGATGAATTGGGGGTACTATATATAATATATATATAATGCACAGTATATGTATATATATATATACATAAATATATGTGTGTATTTTTGTACCTGGGAGTCACTTGTCAGCTGGGCCCCATCCTCAGAATGAGTTGTACCTCTAGGACCTTACATGGACATCATTCCTCATTGATACTGTAGGTTTCTGGATTTGGAAGATTTCAATGCTGGTTGGTGGTTTCGGTTCCAAGTCTCCCGTTGTTTACCAGGGATGATGATTCCCAATGCTTCTCATATGTTCCAGGCAGGACCATGGACCGGGATTACCGTCAGGCCACCCTTAGCTGTCCAGGTGGCTGCAATCTTTGCGTGCTCGTCTGGGCCAGCAAAAGGTTTCACGAAAGATGATGGTGCGTAGGCTCTGGAGCTCGGGGTGCCATGGTTGGAGCCGAGGTGTCACAAAGCTGCTTTTCCAAGTTCCAAGTATTGTAGGTCATGTGGTACACGCGATCATAAATAAACACCCAAGTTTATCAGTTGAGTTGTCATAAACCGTACCCAACAACAACCACGATCATCATTTGGCTTCTTTAGAGGCGTCTGAGTTCAGATGTGGGCGCCGAAGAGCAGCCAGAGACTCGGTCAGGGCTGGGGGGAAGGTAAGCAATCCTCCAAGGTAATCGTGGCCGCCTGTCACAACTGTTGGTGGCACTCCTGGACGTGATGATGATCCCTGTCGAATGTATTGGAAATATATATATATATATATTATATTATATATATTATATATAATATATATATATTATATAATATTATATATATAAATATATATTATACATACATATAATATTATATATACATATATTTCTTTTTGGGGTCCCATACGAGGGTAGGCAATATTTGATGGGATGAAGGTAAGGCCTCGTCTCGGCCATACTTCGAGGATCACCGGGATTCGTGGTTAGTGACCTGGGATAACTCAGTGGGACTAACATCACCAGGGCTGGACCTTTCTGGTTATCACCAGGGATCTATGGCCATAGGTTATCAGCTTATCAGGTTAGTAAGTGATCAGGGGGTTATCAGGTTATCACTTATATCACTTACTTTCTGGACCTTGAGATTGTGTGGCACGAATCTCCGGGAACCCAAAGTGTCCAGCACTTTCAAAGTGCCCGGATCAGACTGGTGGGACATGGTGGGACCATGGTGCGATGTCGGCCCCAGCATCCAGGTACTTTCATGGACCTATGCTGGGTGAGGGAGCCTATGGTGAAGTTTACGCCATGTTCCATAGATCCTTAGGTCAGCTACGCTGGGCTCGTGGGATGAAGTGGGTCCGTGGGATGAAAATCACCTGGCTACTTGGGAGTGCTACTTCTTTATGATTTTATGGTTATTGATTGCGGTATAGCCATGGTTATAGCCACAATAAATTGGGATATCGGACATATATATATATATATATATCTATATATATCTATATATTTATTTATTTATAAAATTATATATAATATACCTACAACCCCTATAATAACTATGGTTATATATCCACTCGGTTACATATCCACTTATAACTGAAGCTGCACCCCATGTATATCCACCAGATGTGACCTGTGGATCCAGGGGGATTGTTGACGGACCTGCCATCCATGGGGATGTTGGAAGATTTTCAGCGACTACTGGGCGTAGTTTAATCAATGGCATGGGCCTTTTAATTCCGCCAACAGAACTATGGTGTGTTTGAACCAGCACTGATTGAACCAATCAAACTGTTTCCAAAATTATTGGCGTACGTGAGATCGCCTCACTTGAAGGGGACAACATCATGCTGATCGGCGCGTTGATCAGCATGTATCTCATCCCTGTTGCATGCAGTTGGCGCGTGATGGCACATCTCTCGTTGCATCCAGATTCTGAACTAGGTACTCCCTCTATAACGGCATGTAACTAAGTCACAGAGTGTTGTATTTCGATGTATTTCGTACATACATCAATATACACATACATATCCCGGAAAATTCCAATGACTCATGAATTATATACAGTACCCGTCGGTTCATTGTGGATTATCACTACGTTGAGTAACATATTAGCCATGTGATTTTCAGGGATACACACGCAGTCATAGCAAAAGAAAACATGTACCCGCTGATAATTTAACATGGCAGTGGAAAATCACAGTGTTTAATATGTAATCAAATTATCGAACTAAATGGGCAATTTTTGATAGCTATGTTAGATTACCAGAGAGTAACCCCCCATTGAATCCTATTCAATCCCCATTAGATCCCAATGAAATTCCGTGGAATCCCATCAAACCCCCATGAACTCCCGTTAAATCCCCATTGGATCCCCATGAAAATCCCAATGATTCGATGAATCTCCAGGCGTGAAGCGGGCCGTTAAGGTGATCCACAAATCACGCCTCTCGGTGTCACCGGTGGTGGCAGAAGATGAGGCGATTTTACGGGGCATTGATGGGAGGTTCCATGGTTCCCCATCCAGCTATTGGATGCTATTGGCGTACCATGACGAAACGGACACCTCCATGACTGGTGAAAGTATGGTGTATCAACTGTGATCAAACAGCAATGGTTCCAAATACGGAGGGATGGTTTAAGCACTCAACATTTAGGGAGCCACCAAATATGTCCAAAACGTGGGGCAATTAACTGAGAAAACACCAGCTATGAGGGGTTTAGCCACCAACCATCAAATACGGGATAGAATGGGAATAATTATAAACACTGATTTAAAAATCAGAGATTGAATGAAAATTGATACTGTAGACCTGCCGTGATCAAACCAGACATTTACTAAGACTCCCATTTTGCGTTGATGTCCGCAACCACCACCGCAGCCATTTTCGACAGTTCTGCCATCGTCCGCGCTTCAAACCAAGCCTCGTCGTACCAATCGTCATGGCGTCCGACAAGGTCGGTGGAGTAGGTTTGTCCATCCACCAGTGAAAGGGGGAGATCTACTTGGGCTTGTCTGAACATAGAGGAATCAAGCTGGATTTCAGATTGGAAATGGATAAATCTGATTCTAAGCCTGTTAAAATGGAGCCCCCTCCAAACCCAACAGTTGATCATCATTTTCTCCTTTGAAATGGTCATATATATATATGATTGTATAATATTACGGCAAGACCCTGAGGTTTGCCCGAACTCGCAACGAGCGTCCGGGTATGATGATGATGATGGTGATGATGATGATGATGACGACGATGATGATGATGATCATCATCATCATCATCACCGGTATGCTCCACATAAACAACATGAATTAGACCCTTATTGAAGATCTTGATTGAATGTAGAAGTTAAACGAGGGTGGGAGAATTAAGCCCTTATTGAAGATCTTCAATGAATGTAAAAGTTCAACGGGGCCGGGAGAATTAAACCCCTATTGAAGATGTTCAATGAATGTAAGAGTTTACCGGGGTGGGAGAATTAAACCCTTATTGAAGATCTTCAATGAATGCATATAGAAGTTTAAAGGGGTTGGGAAAATCATATGATACGTATAGTATGAACAAACAAATCCTTTTAATTTATGCTAGTCTGGGCTTGAGCAAACCTCGGGGTCTGTGTGTAATATTATATCTGTGATAAATACCCCATTCTCAGCCCCACTTGGACACTGGTCGACCAAGCCTCAGAGATGGAGCTGCGGCAGGTTCTTAGCATGGAAGAGGTTGCCAAGCACAACACCAAGGCGGGCAAAACGCTGAGGATGTCGCCTCCATGGGAGTACCCGCTCCTGCAACCATCAAGTGGTTAGGGGTTTCTTTTTTGATTGATTTTCCATTTTTTTTTGTGGGGGATATGTTGATTGATGATTGTGTGTTCAGTCATCATTAGGATATTTTTCCGTCCTTTTTGATTTTGCCGAATGATTTGAGATACGACTTTAAGCCAATCCTGTTTGGAGGTCAAACCAGGGGTTCTTGTAGGAATCCGTCAATCAATACAGTTATATGAACAATTGTCATGTTTCCCCTTGATTTTCAGTCTCTTTCATATCAACCTCGATACTGGAAAATGCTGCAAAACTCGGTCTCAGTTCTATTTTGATATTGCTGTCTCATTTGGGTGACACCATTTCACTAAATACAAACACATCAAGCTGACGGCATCCAGGAGGATTGCTGGGTTGTGCTCTATGGCAAGGTGCGGTACAACGGGTCATGTTCAACCCGGGGATCCAACAATGTTCAACCGGATCGTGATCCCAAGTGACGGAGATGTTTCAGGGTTGAGAGCACCCATCACACCAGGTTCTTATATATAACAAAAAATATATAATATATAATAAATAATATATAATATATATTATATTATATTATATTATATTACATTACAGATATAATATATATATATATATTATGATGTATTTTAATATTGTATTAAATGATATTATATTACATATTATATTACATATTATATATAGTAATATATATAATATAATATAATATCATATAATATAATATAAAAGATAACATGTAACATCATATGATATAATATATTTGATATAATATGTGTTTAATGTTTTATATATATTATATTATATTATATTATATTATATTTTATTATTTTATATTTTATTATATTTTATTATATTATATATATTATGATATATATATATATTATAATATTATATTACACAATATTATATTATATTATATTATATTATATTACACAAGATTATATTATATTATATTATATTATATATATACATTATATTATTTATATATATAATATAATATAGTATAATATAATATAATATAATATAATAAATATATATATATATTGTGATATATATTATATAAAATATTATATTACACACTATTATATTTTATTGCAATACATAGATATTTAAAGATATATATGATATATATATATATATTTTATGATATATATATATATATTTTATTATATATATATTATATATATTTTGATATTGTTTATATATATATATATTATAGTATTTTATGTTATAGTATATTATATTATATCATATTATATTATATAGAATATATTATACATATAATATTTTATGTATATTATATATTATATATGTTATATATTATTATGTATTATTTCTTTTTTATATTTTATATTATATATTATATATTATATATTATATGTTATATATTATATATTATATATGTTATATATATTTATTATATTATATATCTATTATATATATTATATTATATATATATTATATATATTGTATATTATATATATGTGTTTATATTTGATATATTACATATGATATAGTTTTTTTTTTTTAAATATATATATATACAATATATATATATTGACATATTGTATTTTTCATATGTATGTTATAATATATATTTATTATATGATATATATATTATATATATACTATATTACATTTTTTTTATTATGTATTATATATATAAAATATATAATATATATATTGTATATTATATATAATATATTATGTATATTATATGTTTTACATTATATAGTATATGTTTTACATTATATAGTATATATTATATATTGTTTATTATTTATTATATATTATATATTTTTATATTATATATATTACATATTATATATATTATATTATGTATTATATATATATTACATATTATATATATTATTATATATATTATTTATATATTATATTATATTATATTATTAGTTTATGTTATACTTCATTATATTATATTATACTATATTGTTTGGATTTTTTTGGAACCACAGAATTCAGGCTACTGGTTATTGAAACAGGCAAAATAGATGCTACTCTGAAGCAACGTTCAAGTGGCCCACTGAACTAGATTGTCTCTACTGGCAGCTCATGCGTATGACCAGCGGTGGAAACGTCTCTTTTGATTGAACATGAACTAAACATGGCAAGATCTACTTTAGAGCCGTCTCCATTCATATCCATGTTGAATTTCCTAACCTGATCTCATTTCCTGGAATTAGTGACCATGGAAAGTCTCCTCATTTTGAATTTGAAGGTTCTATGATGTCATTCATCATTCAGATGGTAAAACTTCATGATCTCCAAAAAAAAATAGCTCAACCTCATCCTGTGAAATGCCAAAACGTGTTCCCGAAAAAAGAAACAAACCAATCCACCTTGCAATGATCAGATCTTACTGCCAATTCATCAAGCCCGATACCCTCTGGTACTCCAACGTAGCTATGGAAAACAACCATGTTTAACAGGGAACATTATGATAAATTCGGTAGATCATGGTAGATCGACATCTTTCTATTTTCGCCATTCAGAACTTCCGCGGTCAGATTCCCCTCCTTGTCGCCTCAACGGGGAGGCCTACGACTTGACCAAGTTCGCCAAGGTCCATCCCGGAGGCGCCAAGCTCATCACGGACGCTGCTGGGATGGATGCCACCGCCATCTTCGATCCCATCCATCCCAAGGTGGGAACGGTAACCCGGTAACGCTTGGGAGGCAACGAGGGTGCCAAGGCCGCTGAAGGTGGGCGTTTTTTTAAAAGCCACCGGTAAGACCTTCCTTTGGAAAGATGGCTCGGAAAATTGATGACGAAAGTTGAAGAGGGAAATCATCTATAAGTTGAAACCAGTTAATAAAAGAAACTTATTGCATCTTATTGGGATGTTTGATTGCCACAGGCTGTCAAGTCTTATTTTTTTCAACTCTAATTGTTTCTCCCTCTCTATATATAATTTTATACATACATATGTATACGTATTATATATATATTATTATCTCTATCTGTATAATATATATATATATTAATATATATATATATATGTATGTATACATGTTACACAGCAATTCTTGGTTTCTTTTGGTTAACCCCGGTGTTTTTCAATTTCCGAGTTGGTCACCAGGACATCATGGACAAGCTCTTGAAGCCATCCCTGACCATGGGAGCTCTGACCTGAGGAAAATTTTCGCTGTTCCTGTGCCAGAAATTCCTATGCAGAAAGAAACAGAGAACAATATAAAATATGAAAGAACTATCCCCAAAATAGTGATGATTAACATAGAAAAAGAAGAACTATTCCCACACATATATGGAATAATAGTAACCCCAAAAAAGATAGAAAAGGAACAATCCCACAAACATTTCGTGATGATTTACTGTTCCGGCTTTTTGGGGGTTACTATAATGATAAATAGGAAGAACGTATGTCCTAGGATTCACCCCAATTAGCAAGTGAGTTATCATTTATAACCTCAGTTATATATAAGTAGGTTAAGTAGTGGTGGTCTACATAGATACTGGAGACATGGCCCACTTACTGTACTATTTGGGGCGAACCACCAAGTAAATATGTACGATAATGTACGTATACATACACCCAAATGTTGGTCGTAATGGACATGGAATCAATGGCCGGCTGGCTGGTGGTTTCCAAGATGTTTATTTCTGGTTCAGATGATGCGCTCTGACCCAAACAGTTTCAGGACGGTT